TTTTATATGAATTCCATGTTGTACGAGTCACTTAGATTTTAAAAATACATGTGCCGGGCTGTGAACGGCTCACGTATTTGTAAAATCTAAGTGACTCGTACAACATGGAATTCATATAAAACGGAATAATCAACAATGTTATAGGGAGGTCGACTGGTACTGTATGTCACTCACTGCCTGGGAACAATATAGGATATAGGCTTGTAGCCTAATTGTGTATGTTATAACTAGGCTACTGTACTGTACTGCACTGATAATAAATAAAATAATAATATTAACGTAAAGTATTAGCTGATAATTTTCATTTATTATCTATTAAAAGCTGTAGAATATACCCCACACTGTTCCTTTCTCATTGCTCTTAAAATTAACATATAATTTTCTACATAAAATGTAATTAATTGTTTAATTTTATATCAAAAATTACAGTTTTAATAAATAGATTTATTATAAATTACGTAAAGTTTTCAATTTATTTACATAAATAAATATGAATTAATTAGTTTATTACTCCAAACAAAATATGGCTAAGCTATTTTGATTTAAAAAAGAAAAATACAATGAAGTGTCTTAAGTTTAACACTCAAAACAAGTGCTTAGTTTGTATTTTTAGTGTTAGAATTTGGCCTAAATACGATAGCAATTGAATATAGTTAAAGATTATTAAAATGAGTTGAAATGAAGGCAATATCCAAACTGGATTGTATCGGTTGCTCGCTTGTGTTACGCACGTAACATTAGCAAGTAATGTTGATGTAATCTAATTGGTATAATTAAAGGCAACGAAACGCATCATTTCTCAATATGGGATGCGGTTGAGGGTCAGATGACGGTAGTTGTCATGAAAACATAGTCATCGATGCACATGCATCTCCATGTATCACAACATACGCAGGTTCAAGTGTCGACACAGACTTTATGGTCGTTTCACGATCCTAACCCAGGACAACTGCCGAACTGATTTCACGCCAGTCGCCATAGAGATTGCAGATGCAAGAGACGTTATCTGGAGAGATGGGTCGGTGGCCCGACCGACAGCTCCCAAGGGGGACCAGGCCACCAGCTTCCGACTTGACTGGATTGCCTGAATGGCAACTCATCAAATCGTGATAGCTCTGTCCCAATAATATTGATTAGGAGTTCCCGGCCAGATGTGCCTTGACGTACTGTACCTGACCTTCGCACAACTTGTACCGTACAAGATTTGTCTTTGTTAGGTTACGGAGAAACTGTATTGACACAAGTCGGAAATATTCTCCAAGTTTTGTTTGATTTTTATCACAACATCTATACAACTGTCAGATTATGGAAATGTACAAAATAAAAAAAGAAAAAGCTATTTGTATTGCGGTTTCTCATTGGTTGTAAAGGATGTTGGCGTAGAGGGTTTAAATAGGAGCATATTCCCAGTGCAAGCTGGAGGACGCTAGGGACTATTCCTCCCATTGATTCTTCATCCGGACTTTTCTGTACACTTGATGAGAAATGTTGGCAAATGAAAATTATTTTCCTCTCTGAATATTCGACAGAAATTTAAATTAAATTCTCCTTTTTATTAATGTATTAACTGATAAACGTTTTAATTCTCTTCGTGCCGTTCTCTTTTATCGTCTTACTTAATTATCGTAAACATCTAAACGAAATTTTAAAATATATATATTTTTATCAGGTTTAATTAATGGGAAATTTTAAGAATTAAATTTTAGAATGTTAAGTAAAAAAAAATTTTTTTAATTTATTAAATGTTTACTGCAGTTTTCTTTATTGAAAAAAAAAAAGAAAATAAAAAAAAAGTAGAAAAGGGTAAAAGTTTAAAATGTTTTAAATAGGTTGGAGACGGAGTGATATGTTAGAGAAAAGAAGCGATTATGGGTTGTACAAGAAACAAATGATATTAGTGGCCGGAAAGAAGCGGATAGACAATTGGTACAACATATGGCAAGAATAGTAGGAGGTAACTCCGATATATGTCAAGTCGTGCGCTGATTGGTCAAGCTATCAGCAACCTTGTACAGTGACTTCTAAGATGGATGACATTGGAGTCCTCTATCCCTTGCGGGCTGTAAAGTCCAGCAGATAAAAGTAGTGTTGTGGCTAATGGCAGGCACCGAGATATTTGTCTGGCTTTCCCCAAGGGTGTTCTGGCAATGACACACCGCCGACTACAACCGTTCTTATTGGTCCGATTCGAATCATGTGACTCGGATAAGTATCTGATGTGTGACTGCCGGGAATATTTTGCTCTACAAAATCGATGCTTTCTTTTGCAATTCNAAAATAATAATAATAATAATAGAAATCAGAACATTCGACTTAAAGAAATTTCCTCCATTTTACTAATCCGATCTCCATTTATTTGACTGTTTTACTCCAAGAACTATCGTTTCTTTAATCCTTTTTCGGTAAAATTATTCACCCGACATATTAATCTTAATTTGAGTTTAAATGATTCGATTCTATTAACTTTTATTATTTTCTTACAGCAACCAATTTCCTTCCAATTGTGGCTAGGCCGCCTTTATAAATTAACATTGCCTTTCGCCAATGTTACAACGTAATTTTGATGCTTTTTTTTTTACTTAAAAATACACTAAAATGGAGTCGGAAACAGCACGAATCGATGCTCAAAAACAATAATTGGGTCCAGCAACGTATTATTTACAATTGGATCTTTTCTCTCTTCAATAAATAATAAAGGTCCCAAACTATAGTTTAGTTTATTAGTGTATGTATAATTCGATCCTGACTAGATTTAACTGGAATTTACACTTTATTATGAGCTTTAATTATAACAGAAGAGGCTATTTCCTCTTTTTTTTAAACTGTAGTTTACATTACATCTAATAAATCTAATTGGATTTACAGCTGAATTTAGATTTATTACGTTATAGTTAAGGATTTCAAGAAGTCATTTCTAACCTGTAAAAATATTAATAAATTTAAATTATCCTTACAGCGTCAGATCCTAAACTGTAGTTTGTGTGTTAATGTGGATCCGATTAAATTGTTAAAAGTATTTTCTTTTTTTTAGTACGTCGCTAGGCAATTTAATACATAAATTATGGAATAAATAGAGAATGCACGAAAGAATAATTGACTTTACTAACTACTTTCGATTTTTCTATCGAAATTTAGGTTTAGGCCAATAGATTTATTGACGAATATAAGAAGTAAATGCTTTCTCTCTTTATTCGCAATATCATTTGTCTATCGTTTAGACTTATTGCCTCTATTCATCGAAATAAATCTACAAAATCTAACTCATTGGGGAATATTTTAGTAATTGTTTTAACCATTCATTTTAATTTTTCAAAACTATTTTCCAGGAAAAAAAAAAAAAAAAAAAAAAGGATATTATTCCCATGAAGGTATAAACCAGCACCAATTAACAAAAGGGAAAACGTTTCGTTACTTAAAAGAACGCAATTCGTGATCCAATTGTAATTGGCCTTTCTCTAAATAGCGTGCAATCACGCAAAAAATGTTTAAACTATCCTGATTGGATGGTTTCGAATAATTTAAATTTTTTACTTAGTTAACATTTTATCGAATCTTTTATAGAAAATGTAAGGGAAATTTAGATATAAATAGTGTTAATGCAACGTAATTGATTCTCGTGCAATTCGAATTCATAAATGCACTTCACGTGACTGTGTAAATGATGAGCCAAGAATATTTTATACAAAATGTATAATTTAGCTTTTATTTTCAATGACAATTATAATAAAATATAAAGGGATTTGTTCTATCTAAATTATGTTAATGTAACTTAACACGTATAAAAAGGTAGAAGCAAGCAATTGGAATTTATAAATTCATATGACGTGATCCGAAAGTAGTGAGCTAAGAATATTTTATTGGCAAAATTCTACTACTCTATAATTAACTCGTGATTTATCGATAAGAATTCTTGGACTTTAACCAAAATCTATAGTAGTTATTGACCTGTATCTTATATTATTTTCGTTGGGATTATTTAACCCTCCCCTATAGAAACATTTATCTTCATCCGAATTATTTGTTTTTTACGTATAACTTATCGCGTAACATTATCGTCTTTAATAGATATATATCATGAACTAGAAACGAAAAGGATCGAACCAATGACAAGAGGAAAAGACTCATTTCCGAATTTTCAACCTATTTGTTGGATGAGGTAGTAAGATAAAGCAGCATTAATAGTCTAGGGTAATGGAGATGTAGTAATTTATCAAGTGGAAACTTCTTAAAAAGACCAAAAAAAGGCTACCAATAGGCAATAGGTGTGTGGTTGGAACGGAGTCATTTGAGTGCAAGAAGACTTAAGCATCAACCGATTTTATATAAGAATGCAGGTGGAATAAAATCCCAGACAGTGCGGTTAACCCCTCTCTTACTGGGAGCAGCGTGGCTAGCAAAACTGAATACTTTATCCGACAGGAAAGGCTTAGGAAGTATACTTTGTCAATATGTTCTTGTGTATGGCGAGTCTAGATAGCCGGGTTTTTTCCCATTGCCATCGGGTTCTGTTTTACTTTGATCCCATCAAATCCCAGTCTGGTCTCACTCGGCAGGTCAGGGATTTCCACAACCACCAGCCGGTTTCAATTACTTCCCGGACCGGGATTTCGTCATTTATCAGCGAGGATTTGAGACCGAGATTATAATGTCCGCTTCGTAGTCTCGATATCAGAAGGGAGCTTGAGGCGTGTTGACTGCACACACAAAATACATTAAAAATTAATAATATACGTTGAAGAAATTTAAAACTGAATTTTTTATTGAAAAAAATAGAAATTATATTTATTTAATAACTCATCTGCTATTAAATAAATATAATTTCTATTGCTTAGATTAAATTACCTCATCTTTTTTTTTTATTGCTCTAAGCATTTAAATTACCTTAGAAAAATAAGGTATTGTAAAGAAGAGGAATAAGGCATATCAGGAGAAGCAGAAGAACATTGTGTATAGAATATGTCATCTATGTTCATCTATATCATTGATATAATGTTGTGCACAAACATGTTGTCCGAAACAGCAAGCAAGGGTCCATCTACACTTACTTGAGTCGATATGATTACCTGAAGATTAAGAGATAAACATGTTATTTTTCTTTATAGAATCACATTAATGCCTTAGATCTAAAGGGACTTACGGAATATAATGATATAGACAATTCTATAGAAGAATAGCATTGTTTATTAAATTATATAAGATTTTATACTACAAAAATTGCTTAAAATATATATATTTTTATCAGGTTTAATTAATGGGAAATTTTAAGAATTAAATTTTAGAATGTTAAGTAAAAAAAAAAATTTTTAATTTATTAAATGTTTACTGCAGTTTTCTTTATTGTAAAAAAAAAAAGAAAATAAAAAAAAAGTAGAAAAGGGTAAAAGTTTAAAATGTTTTAAATAGGTTGGAGACGGAGTGATATGTTAGAGAAAAGAAGCGATTATGGGTTGTACAAGAAACAAATGATATTAGTGGCCGGAAAGAAGCGGATAGACAATTGGTACAACATATGGCAAGAATAGTAGGAGGTAACTCCGATATATGTCAAGTCGTGCGCTGATTGGTCAAGCTATCAGCAACCTTGTACAGTGACTTCTAAGATGGATGACATTGGAGTCCTCTATCCCTTGCGGGCTGTAAAGTCCAGCAGATAAAAGTAGTGTTGTGGCTAATGGCAGGCACCGAGATATTTGTCTGGCTTTCCCCAAGGGTGTTCTGGCAATGACACACCGCCGACTACAACCGTTCTTATTGGTCCGATTCGAATCATGTGACTCGGATAAGTATCTGATGTGTGACTGCCGGGAATATTTTGCTCTACAAAATCGATGCTTTCTTTGCAATTCTCTTTCTTTGCGGATTAACTATGATTGACAATAAGCGAATATCATTTAACCATTACCGATCTTTGTCATTTTTATCACCCTTCCACGTGACAACACCTATTTAATTCATCAAAATTCATTTGTTACTTTCGTATTTTAACCTTTAATTAATGACTAATTTACTACTTAATAATCGAAATGAATTTATTAACTACCGAATTATTTTATTACTTTACAAGAGATTTAGTTATAAAAAAAATAAAAAGAATAATAAACAGTTGAAACATTGACTAATCCGTTTTTTCCTCTTAAATACAAAAACAGAGGTTAGGAATTCTAACAGATGGTCAAAGAATTGAAAGTCAGAGTCATTTTGAAACAATGTATAAAAATGGTAATTACAACTCCGTAGTCCGTAAACTGCATATGTGCTGGGTTGTGATTGGCTGGACTCGTAGAAAATGGATTCATAAAAACCGGAACGTATCTACCATGTTATAGGGAGGTCGACTGGTACTGTATGTCACTCACTGCCTGGGAACAATATAGGATATAGGCTTGTAGCCTAATTGTGTATGTTATAACTAGGCTACTGTACTGTACTGCACTGATAATAAATAAAATAATAATATTAACGTAAAGTATTAGCTGATAATTTTCATTTATTATCTATTAAAAGCTGTAGAATATACCCCACACTGTTCCTTTCTCATTGCTCTTAAAATTAACATATAATTTTCTACATAAAATGTAATTAATTGTTTAATTTTATATCAGAAATTACAGTTTTAATAAATAGATTTATTATAAATTACGTAAAGTTTTCAATTTATTTACATAAATAAATATGAATTAATTAGTTTATTACTCCAAACAAAATATGGCTAAGCTATTTTGATTTAAAAAAGAAAAATACAATGAAGTGTCTTAAGTTTAACACTCAAAACAAGTGCTTAGTTTGTATTTTTAGTGTTAGAATTTGGCCTAAATACGATAGCAATTGAATATAGTTAAAGATTATTAAAATGAGTTGAAATGAAGGCAATATCCAAACTGGATTGTATCGGTTGCTCGCTTGTGTTACGCACGTAACATTAGCAAGTAATGTTGATGTAATCTAATTGGTATAATTAAAGGCAACGAAACGCATCATTTCTCAATATGGGATGCGGTTGAGGGTCAGATGACGGTAGTTGTCATGAAAACATAGTCATCGATGCACATGCATCTCCATGTATCACAACATACGCAGGTTCAAGTGTCGACACAGACTTTATGGTCGTTTCACGATCCTAACCCAGGACAACTGCCGAACTGATTTCACGCCAGTCGCCATAGAGATTGCAGATGCAAGAGACGTTATCTGGAGAGATGGGTCGGTGGCCCGACCGACAGCTCCCAAGGGGGACCAGGCCACCAGCTTCCGACTTGACTGGATTGCCTGAATGGCAACTCATCAAATCGTGATAGCTCTGTCCCAATAATATTGATTAGGAGTTCCCGGCCAGATGTGCCTTGACGTACTGTACCTGACCTTCGCACAACTTGTACCGTACAAGATTTGTCTTTGTTAGGTTACGGAGAAACTGTATTGACACAAGTCGGAAATATTCTCCAAGTTTTGTTTGATTTTTATCACAACATCTATACAACTGTCAGATTATGGAAATGTACAAAATAAAAAAAGAAAAAGCTATTTGTATTGCGGTTTCTCATTGGTTGTAAAGGATGTTGGCGTAGAGGGTTTAAATAGGAGCATATTCCCAGTGCAAGCTGGAGGACGCTAGGGACTATTCCTCCCATTGATTCTTCATCCGGACTTTTCTGTACACTTGATGAGAAATGTTGGCAAATGAAAATTATTTTCCTCTCTGAATATTCGACAGAAATTTAAATTAAATTCTCCTTTTTATTAATGTATTAACTGATAAACGTTTTAATTCTCTTCGTGCCGTTCTCTTTTATCGTCTTACTTAATTATCGTAAACATCTAAACGAAATTTTAAAATATATATATATTTAAATAATAAAAGATTAAAAACTAAAGATATAAAATTTTTATTTTCGGTATGTTTTTCACATCGAACTTCAGCCCTTTCTGTGAAGTATTCAACACTTTCTAACATATTTCTACACACTTAACTGGAATCTTGTGTCAAGTAATAGCTAAAAAGTAAATTTAACACATAAAATTTCAATATATCTATTATAAACTTTTATTTTATACATTTATAAATATATTATTTGTAAAAATCTCAAAAATTCCTGCTTAATTACAAAAATAACTTCAGAAGTTTAACTTAAAAGCAGTTATATAAAATTCAATTTAATGAACTCGTGTATATTTTATACAACAGTCAACCCCCCTATAACACTGTTGATTATTCCGTTTTATATGAATTCCATGTTGTACGAGTCACTTAGATTTTACAAATATGTGAGCCGTTCACAGCCCGGCACACGTATTTGTAAAATCTAAGTGACTCGTACAACATGGAATTCATATAAAACGGAATAATCAACAGTGTTATAG